GAGGGGACACAGGAGGGGAACGAGGAGGAAGACGGGCCAAAGACGAGTCCGGCGGCGGGAACACAGGACCGTAGACAGGAAGGTCAGCAGGCGGTGGGGGAGACACCGGCGCGCGGTCCGGGGAGGGAAGGCCGAGCAGGCGGAGAGCGGAGACCGGCGGCGACGGCTGCTGCGGCTGCTGCGACAGCTGGGCCGGAACCCTCGGACCGGCAGAGGCAGGACGACCGTCGGCGGAACCCTCAACAGCAGCACCCCCAGAACCAACACCCCTAGAGCAAAAACCCCCTCCAACTCCAGCGGCACCCCTGGGAGCCACAGAACGAACACCCTCCTCAACGCCAGTACCCCCAGAGGCCAACGGCGGCAGCGGCGGCGGCGGCGACGCCGGCTACGGCGGTGGCGGTGCGTGCGACTGCGACGGCAGCGGCGGCGGCGATGGCGACTGCGGCAGGGAAGGCGGAGACACTGGGGAAGGGGGACGTGGTAGGGACGGGCCGGGGGGACCACCAGAGTCAGCAGACTCCTCAACGGGGACAACCGACGGGAGGGGAGTAACGTGAGAGACACCAGACGGGGCAGGACGAGGTGGGAGAGGAGCAGGGGCTACCGGGGGAGAGGGAGCCAGGAACAGGGGCGGGGCAACCGGGAGACCTCGGTGAGGGAAGCGGCGGTAGAAGGAGACAGACTCGTCAAAGGTGACGTCACGAGAGTGGAGGAAGCGGTGAGACGGCGGGTGATAGAAAAGCCAGTCAGACGAGTCCAAGGGGAAACCGAGGAAGACACAGGGGACAGTGCGGGCAGTGAGCTTGTCCGTGCCAGAGGCACGAACGTGAGCAAGGCAGCCCCAGACGTGGAACGCAGACGCGTCACCGGGGGACCCGGTCCAAATGAGGGTCGGCGAAACCTGCGGCCGCTGGAAGCGTGGCCACAAGTTAAGCTGGTGAGCAGCGTAGCGAACAGCGAACGGCCACAGAAAATGGGGGGCATCGGCATGAATCATGGAGGTACGGGCGACCTCCATGACCAAGCCGATGCAGCGCTCAGCAACCCCATTCTGCTGTGGGGAGTCCGGCAAGGTGTACGACTGGGTGATGCCCTCCACACGACAAAACTGTCCAAGCCGACCAGAGGCGAACTCGCCGCCACGGTCAGAGTGGAGACACAACACGGGGAGACCGCGGTGGAGATGCGCAGCCACAACCCACAGGAGAAGAACGTCGCGCACGTCGGCCTTCCGCTCCAGGGGAAACACCGTGGTGTAGCGCGTGTAGTCGTCGACGAGCACAAGGAAGTAGCGCTCACCGCGCGGTCTGGGGACGGGGGCAGGGCCCCAAACGTCCAGGTGCAGGGTCTGAAGGGGGGCAGTAGCAGGGCGCAGCGAGGAGGAGTGAGGAGCACGGCGGAGCCGGCCCTCGATGCAAGGCGTGCACGGTGGCGCAGTCGAGGGAGGAAGGGCAGGGAGCGACGCGGGGAGACCTAAGACAAGACCGTGCTGGGACATGTGACGCAGACGCGGGAGAGCAGGGTGACCTAAGTGGTGGTGCCAGAGAAGGGACGGGTGAGTGAGGGACCGACACGAGCAAGCTGCAGCGACCTGGGAGGTCGCACCAACCGGGGGGGAAGCGGTGTCTAGGGTAAACAGACCGGACACCGAGTCCCGGGGGAACGTCGCAAGGGGGGAACCTGAGACAGCCTCAGAACAGACAGCGAACCGCTCGTGCCCGGGGAACGTGGTGGTGACGCCGAGGTCCTGGAGACAGCCGACACCAACCAGGTTCCTCGAGAACGAGAGAACGTGGAGGCCTGTAAGGGAGCCCGAGGGAACTGCTGGACAGGGAAGGGACGTAGAAGTGCGAGCGACGACAGGACCCGCAGAGGGGCCAGCAAGAGAGACAACAGCAGGCGCAGCAAGCGGCGTGAGCGTGGAACGGTCGCGGAAGAAGTAGGCAGAAGCACCGGAGTGGAGAGTGAAGGACAGCGAAGCAGTGGCGAAGGCCGGGGACGGAGCCGGTGCAGCGACTAGACTAGGCAAGCTAGGCAGTCCTATGCCTGACGCAGCAGGGGAGGCTACGCTACACAATGGTGCAACACCTTAACTAGAGTGCACAGGGTAATAAGATCCAGCAACACTAGAAGCGTCAGAATACAAAGCATGCAAAGCAGCACCTATCCGATCCATGTCTAACTCAAAGATCGGCACGCCCTGGCGGAGCAGGCTGTGCCAGTCGGGGAGGTCCGGGGCCGGGCCAAAGCGACGACGAAAGAGATCGTCGAGGCGGCGGAAACAGCGGGCGGTCGGGTGCGGGTGGCGGCACAGAGTGCCGCGAAGAGGCCCGGTCTGAAGCTGGTACTGGCAGGTGACAGCACCGGAGCCGCCGGTAGACGCCAAGCTGCGCGGGCCGCCACCACGGCCACTACCTCCGGAGGTGCTGGGCCAGCCAGGCGGGAGACGGGCCCACGGCTACGGCGACTGCTGCTGGGACGGCGGCTGCTGCTGGGGCGGCGGCTGCGGCTGGGGCTGCTCCTGCTGCGGCTGGGGCTGCTCCTGCTGCGGCTGGGGCTGCTGCTCCTACCCACCAGTGGTAGTCCTCGCAGGCAGACTACCGTCACCACCACCACCTGCGCCACCACCCCTACCTCCCTGGCGACCACGGCCACCGCGGCGCGAGCGCTGCTGCGGGTGGACCGCAGCAGCCGTCTCGGTGAGAGGGGTCACCGTGGCGACCGCAGCCGAAACCGCAGTGAACGTGCAGTGGGAGGGGGCACAGCCGTGAAAGATAGAGACTGCCGGCGCACCGCTCGATTGAGCGATAGTGCGCTGACGAGTCTTGATCTCGGTGAGGGTGTCGACAAAGGCGGTGAGGGTAAGGTCACCCGGGTGCTGGCTAAGGAAGTGATCGCGAGCACTAGCGAGGCGGTCTGGCAGGCGCATGGCGATAAAATAGAGCGTCATGCAGAAAGGGGGGGGGAGCGCAGTGAGCTGGGCAGTGCGATAGCGGGTCTCTAGGGCACGCAGGTGAGTGGCAAAGTCTGCGACGGTAGGGAGGCTGCAAGGTCTAGGAACAGCATCGGGAAGAGCAAGCGGCCAGCACAAGCAGACGCGGGTGTGGAATAGCGAGCAATAACGGCGTCTAAGTAAGCTTTGGCCGTCTCAACAGTAGCAAAACACGAGCGCTCAGACACAGGGAGGGCGTGACTAATAGCAACCTGAGCTACTGCATCGCGGGAGTCCCAGACCGCACAGGCAAGCGCAGCAGTAGAGAAGCCCTCACGGTCATCAGAAGAGGGATCAGCAGGGAGGGGAGCAGGGGCACGGGGGCGGGGGAGCAAGCCATCGACATGGACAACCAAAGAGTGGCCATCCTGGCGCTGACCTGTAAGGTGGCGGCGGAGATCGGAGAGCCAAGCGGCGAAGTCAACCGCATGGCCCTCGGCGTCCAGTCGGAGCACGAAGTCAGCCATCGTGCAGGGTCAGCGGCACAGCTCCACAGGAACACAGCGACGCAGGGACACGGCGGCAGCACTCTCCAGCACGGCGGCCGCAAGGCGCCCCAGCACTGGCAAGCAGAGTAGACGGAGCCCGAGGTGGCACGGCAGGACGAGCAGGCACGAAAATGGGCCGGGCGGGCACTGGGAGAGGCCAGGCAGACGCGGCGGGGTCAGGCAGGCGCGGAGGGGCCAGGCAGGCGTGGCGGGGCCAGGCAGGCGCGGCGGGGCCAGGCAGGCGCGGCGGGGCCAGGCAGGCGCGGCGGGGCCAGGCAGGCGCGGCGGGGCCAGGCAGGCGCGGCGGGGCCAGGCAGGCGCAGTGGGGCCAGACAGGCGCAGCGGGGCCAGGCAGGCGCGGCAGGGCCAGGCAGGCGCGGAGGGGCCAGGCAGGCGCGACGGGGCCAGGCAGGCGCGGCGGGGCCAGGCAGGTGCGACGGGGCTAGGGAGGCGCGGCGGGGCCAGGCAGGCGCGGCGGGGCCAGGCAGGCGCGGCGGGGCCAGGCAGGCGCGGCAGGGCCAGGCAGGCGCGGCAGGGCCAGGCAGGCGCGGAGGGGCCAGGCAGGCGCGACGGGGCCAAGCAGGGCGCGACGGGGCCAGGCAGGGCGCGACGGGGCCTAGCGGGCGCGACGGGGCCAAGCAGGGCGCGACGGGGCCCAGGAGGGGCGCTAGGAGGCGCGACGGGGCCCAGGAGGGGCGCGACGGGGCTAGGAGGCGCGACGAGGCTAGGAGGCACAACGGGGCCCAGGAGGGGCGCGACGGGGCTAGGAGGCGCGACGGGGCCCAGGAGGGGCGCGACGGGGCCCAAGAGGGGCGCGACGGGGCTAGGAGGCGTGACGGGGCCCAGGAGGGGCGCGACGGGGCCCAAGAGGGGTGCGACGTGGCCTAGCTAGGGTACGGGCGGAAGCGGTAGGTGGGGGATTCTAACCTACGCGTGATACCATGTTAAAATAAGAACTGAATGATTGACTAGAAGTGGAAACCTAGAACAAATACTAGTTGGTTGTACTCACTAGAAGCATACCTCAGTCTAGCCTATAACTTCTACATAGCTAATATGTATAAGTTGACACGAATCACTCCCCTCCCCCCCCCCACACCCCCCCCCCGAAAAAGGTTTTCCGCCTACGGAAGCGGGTAGGTGAGGAAAGTAGCTCTGAATACCAGATGTTATGTGTGTTTAATCAGAGTAGAGCGGAATCGAATGTCGAGGTTCAGAATAACAAAATGTGGAACAATAGGTACACCGGAGCAATCTTAGCCGCGTGATCGAACAGGTTCGTAGAAGTCATCCGAGGATGCGGAGCGCTTCGGAGTGACGTGGAAATGGTTCAGTGCCGTGTTTGGGCCGAAGCTATGGCAGAGTCGGTGCCGTGTGGGGTTGGTGTACACGGTAGCGGTGTGGCGCGCTAAGGAATGGAGAATTCCTTAGAGGTATTGTACAGCTATGTTACAGATTCACTGCGTCATTTTAGCTTGAATCGAATCCTGTCCACCCTCACCTTCCTTCTCATTCACATGAAACATGGAGCTGATCCGTCAACAATGAGAGGGAGGGCATGGCGCTCTCTCGTCGCACTGCCCTCTCGGGTCTATGTCTCCTCGTGTGCATCCTCTTCGTCTGTCGAATATACGTATTCGCAACTGCCACCACGTCCGCTGACTCTGGCTTCCAGGGTGATTCAAAATTAGCCAACGCGTTACAGGCTCTGCTAGGCACTACATTCAGCGCGGCGGGTTCAGCGCCTAGCAGCGCATCTTCCCCGTCCGCCGCGCTTTCCTCCTTCGACCCCAACGGCGTCTGCAGTCCGGCCGGTGCTTCCACTGATCCCGTGGCGCAGCGATCGGATCTCGCTGACTTCTCGCACGTGAACGTCAGCGGCGATGGCTGGAATCGGGCCAACGCATTCGAGCAGTCGTGCTTTCAGATCCAAGGTGCCGTGCCGCGTTCAATTCGTTTCTTCGTACCTCGTTGTATAGAACCCCCCAGTGCAGTAATCTGCTCCAAGGTGCGCATCGCGCTTTGTTTTGACGACCTGCGTGTGTGTGACGACGTGCGTGTGTGTGGCGTGCAGCCTTTGATTCCCAAGGCGGGCCATTCGATGTCGGCTGCAGGTATGAAGCTTCTCGTCTCCCGCATAGCCTCCTTGCTTCCCCACTCGTGCTCTCAGCCATGCGCTCATGGCGTCAGCAGTAGTCGTGGCTGGCGGAATCATGAGAGACATGCGCCCTTCCCGTTCAGCAGTCAGAATCTCGAGATGATTCGGAAAGTGCTTCGTCGCGCATGTCTCGACTCCTCTCCGAGTTGCTGCGTTGCGTTCACGGATGCACCTCGCGTAGCGTGTCGTAGAGTGCATCTTCATTCCACATCGTTGCGCCGTTCGTGTCCCGCCACTTGCTATGCTGTGCGCTGTGCGCTGTGCGCTGTGCGAGCAGGCAGCGCGCGTTCTTGGTGGCGACCATGCGCCTCATCGTGACTATGGATGGAGACACGTCTCTTGCCGACGTGCAGGCGCCGCGAGTGCAGTACCTGCCGGAGTCCAGCTCGCACCTGGTGGGGTGCTCTCCCACCCCGTGCTGCTTGCCCCACCCCGTGCTGCTTGCCCCACCCCGTGCTGCCACGCCCTTCATGCTCTGCTCGTGCGCGCATGTGCGCCTTGTCACACTCGCAGCACACTCACACCTTCCCACCCCAACGTGCCTGTCTGTCCACCGAGCATGCAGCCCTGGCGGGGTCACTCTCTGCAGATCTTAGCCCGCCAGGCTCACTGCACTCCTGCCCTCCCGCACACCACTGCCCTTCACAGTACACAGCATCTTGTATTCACTACAGATTCCCACAGGCCTTACTGCTCACATGGATGCGGCTGTGCCTCAAAGTGTGCCTTGCTGCCCATCATGAGTCGCTGCGCCCATCGCCCGCGGCCTGCAGGTGTGCTACACGGTTCACGAGCACGGGCTGTACTCAGTGCGCGTGGCGCTGCTGTGGGGCAACGCCTTCCTCCTCCGCCAGGCCCTCAACCCCGCCCTTGCTGACGGCTTCTTCAGGTGCACCTCCGCCTGTGCTGCCCTGCCGTTGTGACTGGCGCTTTAGGCAGCCCCGCTGCGAGCGTGTGCCCAGTGCCCGCGTGCAAGTGTGCTGACGGCTGCTGTGCCTCGCAGGTCCAAGGTGGTGGCTCAACAAAACATCACCGTTGCTGCCGCCGCCGCATCCGTGGCCATGGAGAATGGAACGGATTCTGCTCCGTTGAGGTGCGCTGTCTGCCTGAAATTCTCCGTGTCGCCTGGCATCATCATTCTTCCCAGATTTCTCTCCTCCCCCTCCCGCTCTCTTTCTCCCTCTCCCCTCACCACCAAGCGTCCTCCCTCCCTTCCGAATCCTAGTGCTGCCTCGCTCCTCATGTGTGCAGAGCCAGCATCTCTTTTTCAATGTGTGCACGCATGCTCCCGCCCTCCCGTGCTGTGCGTGGCAGCGAGCAGAGCCTGCCGCGGTGCACGTTCAGCATCCTGCGTGATTCAAGGAACCCTGGCTTCTGGCGCGGAGACACGTGGCACCCCACGGCCTGCCGTCTGCCTGACCCCATCGCTCCCGCCCGCATCGGCCGCTGCCTGCACGGCAAGAGCGTCCTCATTCTAGGTCTCCGCTCCCCGCCTCAGCCCACGCTGCTGTATCACGCTCTGTATCACGCTGCTGTATCACGCTGCTGTATCACGCTCTGTATCACGCTCTGTATCACGCTCTGTATCACGCTCTGTATCACGCTCTGTATCATGCTCCGTGTCATGCTCCGTGTCATGCTCCGTGTCATGCTCCGTGTCATGCTCCGTGTCATGCTCGGTACCATGCCCCATTCCGTTCATTGCATCCATGACTCAGTGGGAAATTTAGTGGCATGCACCAACTCATGCTTTCTCACTCCTGCATGTGCATGCCCCCCACTGTCTCTGCTGTGGATGTGCTCACGTGCGTGCACCCCCAGCATGCACCCCCAGCATGCACCCCCAGCATGCACCCCATGTGCGCACCTGCCTGCACGAGCTCATGTCGGCGTTGTGGCCAGTCTGCAGTTACACTTCTCTCTTAACAATGAATTCTGGCAGCGATTCTCCCTGTGCGCCCATCCCTGTGCACCCATCCCTGTGCGCCCATCCCTGTGCGCCCAACCCTGTGCGCCCATCCCCATGCCCACTGGTGTGCCCCAGGCGACTCGCAGATGCGCTACCTGTTTGGCAACCTGCAGATTCTCCTCCACTACCGCACACGCTGCCGCTACCTCAGGCGCTACCGCAGGCAGCCCAGGGTGAGGCCGAGAGGTGGTGCAGGCAGCCCAGGGTGAGGATGGTGCAGGCAGCCCAGGGTGAGGATAGTGCAGGCAGCCCAGGGGGAGGATGGTGCAGGCAGCCCAAGCAGTGTAAGAAGTGGATTGTGACATGCGCTCAGCATGTCCAGCCATCTACCTACTTGTCCCGTCCTTCTACCCGCCACCACTTCTTCCGTCCTCCGAGCCTCACTCAAAGCCTGGCCTTTGATGCTCACTGCCCTGTCCGCTTTGCGCCCCCAGGAGGTGCACCGGGTGCGCGTGAAGAACGTGGTGTTCCAGGACGAGCCCCCCATGGACCCCGCCACCGCCACCGCCTACGCCGCCAACTACAGCAGCTACTGTGGCCAGACTACCTACTGGGGTAACTTCTGGAGCGGCTTCGCCCTGCAGCAGTGAGTGCCCCACTGGGTGGTTGCTGCACACACGCCCACTGCGGTTGCCCCTCCAGGGCACTGGCCAGCTCTATTGTGCTCCTAGTACGCACCGAACCATTGCTCTGGTGCTTTTGCATGCGCCTGCCCGTAAGTTGTACGTGAGCTTGAGGGTGCCTCCACTACTTTCTGTGTGCTCTGCCGTGCATCTTCCTTCCACGAGGCTCCGCACATGCTGTTGCCTACCTCTCCCCTGCTCCCCTACCCTGCATCAGGGTGCGCGTGCAGCCTGTGCGGCGCCGCGGCCCCTCGTTCGCCTTCAACCTCACCTATGCCACGCACATGGGCTCGGACTACGCTGTCTTTGACGACTGGAGGTCCTCCAGCAACCTCACAGGCGGCCCCATCGCCACTCACTTTGCCCCATTTGACATTGTGGCGGTGTCCTTCGGCCTGCACGACATCACACGCAAGAAAGATGCCCAAGAGCTGTCTGAGGCATTCAGTAAGCCCCTCTATACTATTCCTTCAGCCTTGTTCTCGTTGTACATGTTCAGGCTCTGATGAAATTACGCAGCTCTTATGTCTGACTTTTCCCTTCCACTGCCGCAGAATCGGTGTTCCTGCCATCACTCCAGTCAGTGGTTCGCGATGCGGCGAATGTCACCTTCTTTGGCATGTGGGCTGCGCAAGAGAAGGCCAAGCCACAGAGATATCTCTATAAGAGCAACAATGTTCGAGGATTCACGTTTGACGACACTATAGCCAGGTAAGGAGGACCTTCCAGCTGAGAAGAGCACAGTTTCAGTGCACTTAAATGTGTTTCTATCTACCCTGGTGTGTTGTTGCTGTGGTATGTGTTCAGGATTTCCGAAGAGAAGAATTTTGGGCATTTTGTGGATCTTCAAGCATTGACCCTCCCTCGAGGTGACAGGTGTACTGATAGCACCCACTACTCATGGCCAATAACTCTTGCAATGCTTGATATTTGGCTTTCTGCAGTTTGTGAGGATGTTGACACATCAGAATCCGAACCTAAGTGTTAAGATCTCTTACAAACGAAAAGAGAAGATGAGGTGAATGGTCTGTGGTTGGCATGTCATCAGACTCCATGAAGAATGATCGAGACAGGCACAGATCCCTCATTTCTGTACGGATAGCATTGGGTTCCTCACTGAAATATGCACGCTCTGGTTCCGATTTCGCCAAAATTGTTCAACTTTGGCACTGCATTCGGACATTTAAAGCCCGCAGCCCAAATTGCAAGGCGCGACCTTCAAACGCACTGCGTTTGAAAGTCACGTTTTCGTGGGTGAAGATGGGGGTAACGTGACTCGCGTCACTCGGGGCTGGCTTTCAAGTTCAGTGCGGAACATATTTTGGGACACCCAGTGCCTCGCGTTTTTTAGCCGTCCAATATTTAGGGATTTCCATCTGACGGCGCGCAAGTCAAGTGCTTCCCCCAGTAAATCGAAATGTAATCTCAGCCGTTGCACTACCTGCTTGCAAGTCGGACGACCTACGACGAATTGCGAATTCGCGAGAGGAAACACCCTCACGATTTAACTCTGTATTTCGTCCAAGCTGAGGCTCACAGTTCATACGCAGTGCGTATGAACAATTTGGGCCGCGGGCTTTAAATCAAGTTTGTCGACGGTTCGGCTTGGACTTTTCCAGCAAGACAGTTTGGCGACTGTTTCCTGGTAACAGGTGCTCACGATGCATCTTGAGCTAAACATACTTGTAACCTGCTGGATGAGCTTCAAAACGTTCCCGACAGTTCTTTCAGTACTGTCTGCTGTCTCACGGCATGTTCTGCTTCCCGAAAGTTGTGCAATGCATAGTATGATAATTATAAGGGCTTTTCAAATTAATGCTGTACATTTCACTTCAACACAGCCGAAGACAGTTTTTACATCTTGTTCAGGCCATCAGCACGGGCCTTGAATCCAATCTGGCCCCACCAGAGGCAGGCGAACAGGCCGAAGTGCCACAGGATCATCCACAGCCTGAGATTGAAAAGTGAACGATTGGTAAGATTCCCGCAGAACATATGATGGATACTACTTGGGAGAACCAGGGTTAAAGCTCACCAGATGGGGGAGTCGATGCTGGGGCCAGTGGGCCAGTGAGCGAGCTCGGGGCCAATGCTCTCAAAGAAGAGGCCGGTGAGAGACTTTCCGTTGATGGCGGGGATGCTGGAAGGCGCGAGCCACCCAACGACGCCGAAGCCAATCACCGACAGGTCAGTGCGGAGCCAGTCACGCACGAAGCTGAGAAAAGCAACAAAGGGTTATGCTCAGGTCAAAATAAGAACGGCGAGATCTGGCAGCGTTGAGGCAGACAGAAGACGGTCGTTCTGCGAAACTCTTTCAAATTCTGTTCACATACCAGGTGACGCGAGCCTCGGCGCGAGGAGCCTGCACCACAGCGCGCTGTCCAACAAATGCTGCAAGACAAGACGTACGGTGAGTCACGGTCTAAAGCTGTCATTCAAAACATTACTACAAAACGCATTGGGAAGGCCTACCTGACTTGAGCTGGACACGGGCAGTCTTGCGGGCGGCCAGGGAGGAGCCCGCGAGGCCAGCAGCCGGGGCAGCAAGGGAGCAGGCAGCGACGCAAGCCATGGCTGTGGATTGTGAGGGAGCAAAGATTCGGTGTGGAGGGCTAAGCATCAAGAATGCGTTTGAGCTAGTCTTAGTTGTCTGGAAGGGAAGCCCCATGTGCCCTGCGACAGCTTCTGGTGGAGCACTGCCACGTGGAAGCGTGAATCGCAATGGATCGAAATTTGCTAATTCTATTGGCTGAGTTTCGGATAAGGGCGATACCAGGCGAAGTCGTCGACTTCATTCGAGTTGTAACAGAACAGTTCAAGAGGAGTGGGGAACAGAAAAGGGAATAAAAGTGTGATTACAGTCGCTATTCTTGTATAAACTTGAGGTATGATCACATTCCAATTTTCATCTAGGAACCGGATAGATCTTCCAATATAAATAGAATGAATAATTACTTCTATGCTAATTATTACTGATATTTCTATTACTTATCTAGGTATTACTTATAGATCTTCTATGTTTGTTTCTTAATACTTATTATTTCCAGATCTTAGTGCTAACATATATTAGTATGTGTTATAGGCTACATAGGTGCATGCTTATAAAGAGTACAACTCCTTAGCACAAAACCACCATGTATCACTCATTCTATTCAATTGTGTTATTCTGAGATGGTATCATGCTAGGTTAGGTCTCCGACCCTGCTTACGCTTCCGCCCCTAATGCTAACCCTAGCCCTAGCCCATGTCCTAGCCGTGCCCTAGCCCTAGCCGCGCCCTAGCTCTATACGCGCCGGCCCCATCACTTCGCGCCGGCCCCATTAGTTCATGCCAGCCCCGCTAGTTCGCGTCGGCCCCATCACTTCGCGCTGGCCCCGTCAGTTCGCGCCGGCCCCGCCGCTTCACGCTCGTCCCGTAAGTTCGTGCCGGCCCTGCTAGTTCACGCCGGCCCCGTCAGTTCGCGCCGGCCCCGTTAGTTTGCACAAGCCCCATCAGTTCGTGCCGGCCCCGCTAGTTCGCGCCGGCCCCGTCCGTTCGCGCCCATCGGAGAACGGAGGGGGGGGGGGGGGGGGGGGGGGTGTTTCAAGTCAGGGGAGTGTGGGGAAAAAGTCGCGCAGTTTGGTTGGGGTTGGCTCGGAATTGGCGAGACGTTTTCAAGAACATCTTCGTCTCTCCCGCTAGTCACCCAACCAAAACCGCGTCGTGCCGAACATTTCGGTTCGAAATTTGGCGCCTTGACAACACGTCAAAGGTGAGTCCCAGCGAGTCTACAATCTCGTTACAAAATATTCAGTATAGTCAAACTTGATTTGACGATATTTTGAATAGTCTGTTAGTACAGTAGAATTACCATTGCGACTATTCTACTCATTATTACATCCAATGTAATCTCTATTATGCTTACACTATTGCCTCCATATAGATTGATTTCGTTGTAATAAATGGTTAGATTATTATTACAACAAACAATCGACAAGAGAAAACATAGAATCCAATGCCAGTATCAAATCCCCCATCCATAGCCACTATCCAACAGCATGATGACTGGACAATGCCCACAGTTGCTCCTCCATAGCACTCAGAAAATCACCTCCAAGCCCTCTCCATTGAAGTTTGCATCAGGGACGTCAGTTGCATCCCGATCCCCAAGGACATCAAGAGCAAGGATGTTCGCAGGGACATCCTCCCACTCTATAAGGTGGAGCTTCCCAATGAAGTAGTTGTTTCCGTTGTGCTTGGAAGCCTTGAAGCGGTTCAGCAGACGCTGAAGGACGCGTTCCTGCCTCCCTAGCGCATCCGGATCTCCCGACTGTTCCAACTGAACACGTGCCATGTTGGGATGGCGCAACTTGTGACGAACCTGATGAAATCAGAGCATGCATAAAAGGGGAATGAAGGAAATGTGACAAGGAAAGAGTGTTGACATGGTGTTAAGAGGTGAACTAGAACTCCAGCACCTAAAGCTGGAAGTGGCCCTTGTTCCAACCTGCAGCTTGAAGTCTCAGCACCTAAAGAGGGGATGTAACAGAGAAAAGGCTAGGAAGGGAGGTAGTAAGGGATGGGACGGGAAGGGATGGGAAAGGGACCAGATGGGAAAGGGATGGCCGGCCTGGGAAGGGATGGGAAGAGTTGGGGTTGGGGTTGAAAATGACTCTGAAGCACCCAACAGCCTTGGGATGTACAGGTGCTGCACTGCCAATAATCGTCACCTGTCTGAAAACAAGGGGGCAGCAGGGGAGAACAAAGGCACAGAGGGTTTGTGTCTAGGAGGATCAGATCACACCAACTTATATACCATGGCTAGAGTCTAACCTAACGTTGCCACTCCCAGCAGCCTGAGGATGAACGGGTGCTGTGCTGCCGTCATCACCATCACTTCGGTCAGAAGGAAGTATTGGAGGCAGTTGAGGAGTGGGGTGGAGGGGTGGGAAGAATGCATTCAGGAGCCAAAGGATGTCTGGGTGCTGAAGTGCTGTCATCACCATCATCTGTCTGGAGGATAGGGAGGGGAAGAGCCGGAAGTGTCAGAGAAACACTGCGTTCGGGGTGATTCAAGAGCCACTAGCAGCCTGACGATGTGCGGAGGTAGTAAGGGATGGGACGGGAAGGGATGGGAAGGGATGGGAAGGGATGGGAATTGGGTGGGAAGGGATAAGAAGAGTTAGGAAGGGATGGGAAGAGTTGAGAAGGGATGGGAAGGGATGAGAAAGGAAGGGACAGGATGCGAAGCACCGAACCATAACCTAAGCATACGTGACATGACCGTCCATAAATGAGGAACTCACCACAGCCATGGTGAGTGTGAGCTGGTGGCGATGCAGGGCAATCACAGGACCAGAATTTCCGGTCCACAACTTCCCAATAGCAAGAAGGGCAGGGCTTGAGAAGGGAACCCCTTCCCACTCATGCCACGGGATCCCGGTGTCGTCTGGAAAAAAATACACGGAGAAACGGTTAAGCACACAGATTTGAACATAACAAAGAGCGATGGAGGAATGGTTAAGCACACAAGTCTGAAACGAGACATACAAAATCAAACAGGCAGGGACTTACTGAGGCCATTGTCTTCGACCCACTGATGACACTTCAGAGCAAAATCTGCTTCCATCTTCCGAGTTTTCTTTCCGTCACTGCTGATGTCCGTAGTGACGAACTTCAGTGGGGCGTTTATGAGAGCTGCAAACCTGATTAGGGAAAGTTTCTTCCCGATACGATTGTTGTACATCTTAGCGGTACACTCAAGGACATCGGAATTGGACAGTTCAAGCTTGAGCCTGAACGCCGTCTCAGATTCCGGCTGAACGTTGGCCAGCTCTGTGGAACACCACGAAACAGGGGGAACAGGAACAGCAGGGGGCGTTAAAGTACAACAGAAAGAGAGGGAAAGCATGGCATCTGATGCAATAAATCAGGGAAAGACCTACCAACAAAAACCTTCAACCAATGAGCTTCGTCCGGGGCGTAGTTGATATATGGGGCCTTGCTGATGGTAAGTCCAACAGCCTGCTTCATAATGTCCTGCAAATAAAAAATAATGCAACATTAGTACCAGATCCGGCCAAGACCAACACTCACAAGAAGGAATGCTTACATTCACCCGCTTGGGCGTGAGCACGTGCTGCTGAAGTTGGTTGACCAGGTTCTCTACCACCTTCAGCGACGTTGTTGTAACCAGCGTCTGCCGTTCCAGGTCCGCCTTGGCAGCAAGCGTTTCCTCCATGAGCTGCATGTTCCTCAGGCGAAGGTCATCGTTCATCTTAGGTTCCTTCCTAGCTCTCTTGTTGTAGAGCAGAGCCGTGTCATCAATCGCTTCTGCACCTGATGCTCGCTTCAACAGTCGGTTGCCAACACTGGTGTACGCTGAGGAACAGCAATAGAGAAAGAGTAGAACAACAGAGATCAACATATTTGCGTAGGCATCTATCTGCATGGGCAAAGGGGATGAAGACTACAAGACAAGGAAAAACGCACCCGGTGGCAGAATGATCTCCTCAGCTCCTGCAGGACCATGCTGGTGCTGACCGTTTCCAGGGATTGGGTCAGATGTTGGCGGAGCAAAAAGGGGAGCACCTTCAGCCGTTGAGGGAATGACACCAGGCACAGGAGCAGCTGGAGCCTGGATTGATGGAGCTGAAATATGCTAAACAGTGGGCTGCTCCAGCGAGGTATCAACTGAAGCATCCACTGGACCCTGAGCGTTCTGGCTGGAAAGAATTAAGCCAGGATCAGATCCGCCAACTTCCAACTCTTGGCCGACAGACAGATCTGCCATAATGAAGAAGAACCAGTTGTTAGTCGTGGAAGTTTAAGGAAACTGTTCTGTGACACAGTAAGGAGAGGGGACTCACCAACGGCTGTAGCCTGCTGAAGCGGGGTATCGACATGTGGTGCTTTCTCCAAGATAGCCGAGAGCAGGTGTATGCTATTCCGAGATGCAGCCAAAGTTGATGGCGTCTTGAACGATTGCTGCGGAGCAACACCAGAGCCTTGAGGTGGCTGACCTGGAAGGACGCAGAGAAATTACTTCGTTAACATTGGGAGACGAAACGGATCTACTGCCTTGAGAAGTTTGTATTCGCGAGAACCAAGCAAGGTATACTTTGCTTGTTGTAATGACCACGGAGAGTCAGATGATTGGCCTTCACACCATGGCTGGGTTGCTAACGCTGAACCATTGCCAACACTTCCGCAGGAACCGGGTTGCTCTTGGGCGCCATGGAACACGGGCGTAACAATGTAAGAAAAAGAGTGGTGGATAAGAGGAAGCTGTGGAGGATAACTTAAGAGTGCAGTCTAATCGGAAGAGAGTGGGAAGAATGACTAACAAAGCTGGCTTTATACTGACCTGGAAGGCTGATACTTGGAGGAAAATACGGGCCTTGTTGAGAGCGCAATGGACTCTACCGTAGGTTGATGATAAAAAATCGATCTGCAAAAGAGAGTAGAAGAGGCGGGAAAATCGTAAGGATGGTGGCGCTAAAAAGGGGCAAAGCCAAGTTGTCGGCACTCAAAGCTTGCGGTCTGAAGTTTGAACTTCGAAGTTTGAAGCTAAGGTTTGAAGTTTGAAATTCAAACACATGAATGGAGGGCTTGCCGAGGAACCACCAAACCCTACGTTTGAGGCATGGACCAGTAGAGGGGTGAAAGTGACGGGAGGGAAATTGTGTGGTTGAGGAATCGGTACCGAGGGCGTGTCCGAAGTGCACAAATTTTTAGTTGGGGTTTGAGGTACAGTTCGGTCTGGAAGTAAAATCAGGGCTATGTGCTATACAGTAGGATGTAGTGCGTTACCTTCTTCAAAATTGCAAATCCAGGATACACCCTGAGAACCCAGAGGTTACGTCGTATGTTTTCAAGGACGGGCAGTTGGAAGTAGTGTTCTCTACCGTCCGCCATGCAGTTTTGGCGAGATTAGCGTTGGTATCTTTTCTGTCCATGCCTGCGTTACCGCTGCGATAATCTGAGAAACAAAAAAAATTGCCAATTTTTTAACAGAAGGGCAGCTTCGCTGAGTTTTTAATAGAAGGACCAAGGTCAGAGACTGAATGCCGATATAGCACGCATCATGAACAACCTGGATTGCCTTGGCTTATACATGTAAAGCACCATAAAAGATAAAGACTACTTGTGCCACTTACCACGCGTAGAGCGACCGCCCGCGCTTCAGCATCCTCAGTATCGTCATCGTCCTTGGTAAGTGCTTCCACAAGCTCCCCAACCAGGGCTCGTCATGTTATCTGCTCCTCGTGGTTTTTTTTGTTGCTGCCACGATAGGGTCGCTTCATCATTGAAATATGAAGATGCTTGAACCGGTCCGTACAGTAATGCACGGGCAATCCGCCTTGCCTAATGTCTTCAGGGACATGGATCATGGCATGCACCTTCGGGATGTTAAATTCTGATTTCTGCTTATCACCAAAGTGCTTGATAAGCAAGGGGACCAACCTGTGACATGGGAGGTATAAGGGTAAATGTACTGTGGTTGAGTTGAGCAATGGAAAAGAATCAGGAAAAGTAAACAGGGAATGAGACCTTGGCTCTAGGGGTTGAAAGTGGGTAGGTAACTTCTCTAAAACAGTGGAGACAGGGCATTGAAAGAGAAACGGGTTACCATAGCTAGAGATTGCGTACCTAGAGATTACCATAGCTAGAGATTACCACGCCTCAAAGGCTCTATGCAAGCTGTATTTTTCATGTGGGGTTGAAAGAGGGTTGGAATGGGGCTGGCCTTTAAAGATAGCACGTTTTGGACTTACAAATCGGTGACAAAAACAAGGGAAATGCTTGAGAACGCAGAAATATAAGATAAAGAAACCATGGCTGAAGGCCATCAAGCATGCTGTCTCGTCTTGATGGGGATGAAACGGGCTGATAACTTCTTGAAATTGTGGGGGAGAACGCATTAAAAAACAAGAGGGTGGCTAGCGACACAGCAAGGGGACTTACACACGGGTGACAAATTGGAGATGCTCCAAAGTGGCCTCCTTATGATACGGACGGAGCCATACCTCCGAGTGCCAGTACACGTACATAGCCACTGAAGTTACAAGATCCTTCTCTGCCCCCATCATCTGAAGTAGAAGTGGTAGAACTTGCATCACAGCTTGATGCTCAAAAGCATAGAATGTGCCCACATTCGCAAAATATCGTTTCCCCTTCCCTGGAAGCCGAAAAAACGACTGTCTACTGTAGTCAGTTATCGAAGCTAGTGCATCATCATAGGCTGGCTGCATGTCAACATCCCCTCTTCCCCCCTTGAGCTTAGACCTTAAACAGTCAGCGATGTGTTTGAACACTCCAAGAGCCAACATATGCATAATGTCGCACATAAGGGCGGCGTATGTATTCCCCTACTCTGTGTCTGCATATGGGAATCACCATATGCTCACCTATTTGGGGAGGTATGGTTGTGGGCAGACAAAACAGAAAAGAATGGAATGTGGGAAGAATTAAAGGGGCTGGAAAATTAAGGGAAGGGGATGTGAGACAGGTAGGGCCCGTCTTTTCCTTCCCTCTCTTCCTCCCTGCCTCCCTCCCTCCCTTCCTCCATTCCTCCCTGCCTGCCTGCCTCCCTCCCTCCCTCCCTGCCTCCCTCCCTCCCTTCCTTTCTTCCTCCCATCCCCCCTCCCTCCCTCCCTCCTTCCCTGCCTCACTCCCAGCCTCCCTCCCTCCCTTCCTCTCTTCCTCCCTGCCTCCCTCCCTCCCTGCTCCCCTCCCTCCCTGCCTCCCTCCCTCCCTTCCTCTCTTCCTCCCTGCCTCCCTCCCTCCCTGCTCCCCTCCCTCCCTGCCTCCCTCCCTCCCTCCCTTCCTCCCTTCCTCCCTGCTTCCCTCCCTCCCTTCCTCCCTCCCTCTCTCCCTCCCTGCCTCCCTCCCTCCATGCTTCCCCCCCTCCCTGCCTCCCTCCCCCCATGCTTCCCTCTCTCCCTTCCTCCTCCCTTCCTCCCTTCCTCCCTGCCTCCCTCCCTCCCTGCTCCCCTCCCTCCCTCCCTCCCTCCCTCCCTCCCTTCCTCCCTTCCTCCCTTCCTCCCTGCTTCCCTCCCTCCCTTCCTCCCTCCCTCCCTCCCTCCCTCCCTGCCTCCCTCCCTCCATACTTCCCCCCCTCCCTGCCTCCCTTCCTCCATGCTTCCCTCCCTCCCTTCCTCCCTTCCTCCCTGCCTCCCTCCCTTCCTGCTCCCCTACCTCCCTGCCTCCCTCCCTCCCTGCTCCCCTCCCTCCCTGCCTCCCTCCCTCCCTTCCTCCCTTCCTCCCTGCCTCCCTCCCTCCCTGCTCCCCTACCTCCCTACCTCCCTCCCTCCCTGCTCCCCTCCCTCCCTGACTCCCTCCCTCCCTCCCTCCCTCCCTTCCTCCCTGCCTCTCTCCCTCCCTGCTCCCCTCCCTCCCTCCCTCCCTCCCTCCCTCCCTCCCTCCCTCCCTCCCTCCCTCCCTCCCTCCCTCCCTCCCTCCCTCCCTCCCTCCCTTCCTCCCTTCCTCCCGTCCCCCCTCCCTCCCTCCCTCCTTCCCTGCCTCATTCCCAGCCTCCCTCCCTCCATGCTTCCCCCCCTCCCTGCCTCCCTTCCTCCCTTCCTCCCTCCCTCCCTCCCTCCCTGCCTCCCTCCCTCCATGCTCCCCCCCCTCCCTGCCTCCCTCCCTCCCTGCTCCCCTCCCTCCCTGCCTCCCTCCCTCCCTTCCTCCCTTCCTCCCTGCTGCCCTCCCTCCCTGCTCCCCTTCCTCCCTGCCTCCCTCCCTCCCTGCTCCCCTACCTCCCTGCCTCCCTCCCTCCCTGCCTCCCTCCCTCCCTCCCTTCCTCCGTTCCTCCCTGCCTGACTCCCTCCCTCCCTCCCTCCCTCCCTGCTTCCCTCCCTCCCTCCCTCCCTCCCTGCCCCCCTCACTCTCTGCCTCCCTCCCTCCCTGCCTCCCTCCCTCCATGCTTCCCCCCCTCCCTGCCTCCCTTCCTCCCTTCCTCCCTCCCTCCCTCCCTCCCTCCCTCCCTGCCTCCCTCCCTCCCTGCCTCCATTTTGTTCTCCTCATTCAAGCTATCACCCTTCTCACTTTTATCCCAAACTAAAAAATCTCTATGGTTCATGCCAAATCTTCACCAAGGCCACGACTCTCACCTCCATAAAGTGTTGACTGTTCGCAGTCTCAAGTGTTGCTGGATCGTTTCCTCCATATATGCATCTCATCTCTGCCAGAGTTTGCTGCTGCTTCGCCGACGTTCTCTCCGGCACCTGGGCTTCCATATCGGAGAGCTGCGTTTGATGTACCATGCATCGGGGGCACAGAAATCTGGTTGAATGCCCAGACTTCGTGCCGGCTACTTTACACTGCTCCGGATAATCGCCAACATACGCAAACAGGAGGGGGTATGCCATGCGTCGAATGCCAAACAGATCAAGGAGTGGCTCGCCTTTGCTTGCAGCTGCCTTTGCGTCGTCGAAGATGATGTCTAGAGCCTTTTGAAATATCTCTACTCGTCGTCGCGCGATGTTACTATTCGGGGGAAGCATTTCCTCTGTAACCTTAGGCAACAAAGCAACTAGCCGCCTCCCATGCGATTTCCAACGATTTCCTGAGGAATTTTTGGCTAGCGACACGTACATCGGCCAACCCATCACTGACCCATCTCTCGTAAGGTTGGTCTCATCGGAATACACAATCAGTGCCACTACGGATGCTCCCTTCGGTAGCCTCTTTTGTGCAAACCACCACCATTCCCCACTATCGGGATCTCGGTATACTCTCTTGTCTTTCGGAGGTAACTCGAGAGGGTGTGCCATGAATCCTTCTGCATTCGCTGGATTGCTATAGAGGTTCTTCGCACAGGACCACAAAGAGCGCCACCGCAACATGATAGGCCCTCTATCGTTTGGTGAGGCGAGATTTTCCTATTTGAATTCGTCCATCACTGCCCCTCCGCTTACATTCTCCTCGAACAGATCTACATCTGCTACAGAACTGAAAGTGCATGGATCCAATTGGGTGCAGGCAAGGATGTCGACGAGTTCTGTGATCTCAGGGCGTGACAACCCTATGCCTCCACCTACTTTGTTGCAAAAAATGAACACGCGATTATCTGTGGACATCCGCTTCGGATTTTCTTTCGGAGGTATCTTGTACCCAATGGAATCGTGGCTCGAACCGGCAACTCCAGATTCAAAGGGAAGATCTGGTGTGGACTCAGGGACGCTAGTCTCACCCGCTCTACGCTTGGTGCCTCGAGTTGTTGACTCCCTTTCTATGACTCCTTGCAAAGCTGCCAAATCTGAGAAGCTAGGCAGCTGGTGCGCTGTAGGGTGATGCACTGGAGTATGCACATTACGTCGCCGATGAAGTAATCTATCATTTGGATTGCTGAACCTCTCTGAACATCCAGGTTCGCCACAAGCTATCGGCAGCTTCTTATTTCCATCCATTCCCAGGCCTATGACTACAAAGGAAGAAAAGGTAACGACTACAATGAAAAGAGCAGCAAAAGTGAAAACACCTAAACTCCTTAAACGTCTAGGCTCCATCATTCTCTAACCTGTAAGATCTAAGTTCGCCTTTCCCAATAATCAGATAACGCTTTGCTTCCTCCTATCATCGTTTGTCGTAGGTC